TGGTGAGCCAAGATCTTGCCTCTGTACTCCACCCTGGGTGACAAAGCCAGACTCTGCCTCAGAGGGGGAAAAAAAAAGAGACAAAACTGTGAGAATCTATGCTAGCGTTTTAGCTAATGTTTTCTTTTTGCCCCCCTCCCCATCCGCCGCTAATGTTTTATTTATTTTTGCAACCAAGTCTCTCTCTGTTACCCAGGCTGGAGTGCAGTGGCGCAATCTTGGCTCACCACAATCTCTGCCTCTTGGGTCCAAGCGATTCCCTAGCCTCAGCCTCCCAAGTAGCTAGAACTACAGGTGTGTCACCACACCTGGCTAACTTTTCTATTTGTTAAGTAGAAAGGGGTTTCACCATGTTGTCCAGACTGGTCTCGAATTCCTGACTTCATGTGATCAGCCTTCCTCAGCCTCCCAAAGTGTTAGGATTACAGGTGTGAGCCACCGCACTGAGCATACGACTGTTTTAAAAAGTAAAAAGTATTAGAGAATGAATTTTCGCAACAGTAGCTGATTATCTGGGGTTTTTTGCTTATAAGAGTAAGAACATAAATATTTAGGTAGGCATGATCTACCAGTTAAAAAAACCTTTTTTTTTTTTTTTCTGAGATGGAGTTTTGCTCTTGTTGCCGAGGCTGAAATGCAATGGCGTGATCTCGGCTTACCACAACCTCCACCTCCTGGGTTCAAGCGATTCTCCTGCCTCAGTTTCCCGAGTAGCTGGGATTATAGGCATATACCACCATGCCAGGCTAATTTTGTTTTGTTTTGTTTTGTTTTGAGACCAAATTTCACTCTGTTGCCCAGACTGGAGTACAGTGGCGCAATCTTGGCTCACTGCAAACTCCACCTTCCTGGGTTCAAGAGACTGTCCTGCCTCAGCCTCCGAGTAGCTGGGATTACAGGTGCATGCCACCACACCTGGCTAGTTTTTTGTAGTTTTAGTAAAGATGGGGTTTCACTGTGTTAGCCAGGATGGTCTCGATCTCCTGACCTCATGATCCTCCCGCCTTGGACTCCCAAAGTGCTGGGATTACAGGTGTGAGCCCCTGCACCTGGCCTAATTTTGTATTTTTTTTTTTAGAGATGGGGTTTCTCCATGTTGGTCAGGCTGGTCTCAAACTCCTGACCTCAGGTGATTTACCCATCTTGGCCTCCCAAAGTGCTGGGATTACAGGCATGAGCCACCGCGCCCGGAAGAAAAATGTTTTCCTAGGTAATGGAGTTCTGAATACACAAAATGTAATTCAAATGTCTCATCTCTATTTTTAAACTATTTGATTATTATTATGTTTTTTTTTTGAGACAGGGTCTTGCCCCGTCACCCAGGCTGGAGTGCAATGGTGTAATCTTGGCTCACTGCAACGTCCACTTTCTGAGTTCAAAGGATTCTCCTGCCTCAGCCTCCTGAGTAGCTGGGATCACAGACATATGCCACTGCACCTGGCTAATTTTTTGTATCTTTAGTAGAGATGGGGTTTCACCATGTTGGGCAGGCTGATCTCGAACTCCTGACCTGGTGATCTGCCCACCTCGGTCTCCCAAAGTGCTAGGATTACAGGCATGAGCCACCATGCCTGGCACCATTTGATGTTTTAGCAAGCCACATGTAGTAGAGTACCTGGAAAAGAGTGGCTGCTCGATAAAACAATGTCAAATTGTTAAAGGAATCTTCTCATTTCTAACCAGAACCCTAAGGAAAACTAAGACCTTAAACACAAAGAAAACGGAGGCAATAGAGCACCACTATCTGAAAATATTGTGCATTTGGTTATGTTAACTTATTTATTGTCTCATTCCCCACTAAAATGTAGTAAACTCCAGGAGCAAGGGCTATATCTGGATTATTTCAGCCAGGAATCTAGAACAGTAGCACATATAGCACATAGAGTATCTCCAAAAACAATTATTATTATTGAGACGGAGTCTTGCTCTGTTGCCCAGACTGGAGTGCAATGGCACAATCTCAGCTCACTGCAATCTCCACCTCCCGGGTTGAAGCCATTCTGCCTCAGCCTTACAGGTAGGTACAGACATGGGCCATCATGCTCAGCTAATTTTTTTTTTTAAGACAGGGTTTCACCATGTGGGTCAGGCTGATCTTGAACTCCCGACCTCAGGTGATCCGCCCGCCTTGGCCTCTAAAGTGCTTGGATTACAGGCGTGAGCCACCACACCCAGACAATTTTTTTGTCTTTTTAGTAGAGATGGAGTTTCACTATGCTGGCCAGGCTGGTCTCAAACTCCTGACCTCAAGTGATCCACCCGCCTTGGCCTCCCAAAGTGCTGGGATTACAGATGTGAGCCACTTCCCCTGGCCCAAATTTTTTTTTTTTTTTTTTTTGAGACAGAGTTTCGCTCTTGTTACCCAGGCTGGAGTGCAATGGCACAATCTCGGCTCACCACAACCTCCGCCTCCTGGGTTCAAGCAATTCTCCTGCCTCAGCCTCCGGAGTAGCTGGGATTACAGGCACGCGCCACCATGCTCAGCTAATTTTTTGCACCATTAGTAGAGACGGGGTTTCACCATGTTGACCAGAATGGTCTCGATCTCTTGACCTCGTGATCCACCCGCCTCGGCCTCCCAAAGTGCTGGGATTACAGGCGTGAGCCACCGCGCCCAGCCAGCCTGGCCCAATTTTTTAAATGAATGGCATAAAAGTTAAGGACCCTCTTGCTTTGGACTTTAGAATTAAAAAAAAAAAAGAAAAAGGCCGGGCGCAGTGGCTCAAGCCTGTAATCCCAGCACTTTGGGAGGCCGAGGCGGGTGGATCACGAGGTCAAGAGATCGAGACCATCCTGGTCAACATGGTGAAACTCCGTCTCTACTAAAAATACAAAAAATTAGCTGGGCATGGTGCCGTGTGCCTGTAATCCCAGCTACTCAGGAGGCTAAGGCAGGAGAATTGCCTGAACTCAGGAGGCGGAGGTTGCGGTGAGCCGAGATTGTGCCATTGCACTCCAGCCTGGGTAACAAGAGCGAAACTCCGTCTCAAAAAAAAAAAAAAAAAAAAAAAAAAATAGCTGGGCATGGTCGCGGGTGCTTGTAATCCCAGCTACTCAGGAGGCTGAGGCAGGAGAATTGCCTGAACCCAGGAGGCGGAGGTTGCAGTGAGCCAAGATCACGCCATTGCACTCCAGCCTGGGTAACAAGAGTGAAACTCCAGGCCGGGCGCGGTGGCTCAAGCCTGTAATCCCAGCACTTTGGGAGGCTGAGGCGGGTGGATCACAAGGTCAAGAAATCGAGACCATCCTGGTCAACATGGTGAAACCCCGTCTCTACTAAAAATACTAAAAATTAGCTGGGCATGGTGGCACGTGCCTGTAATCCCAGCTACTCAGGAGGCTGAGGCAGGAGAATTGCCTGAACCCAGGAGGCGGAGGTTGTGGTGAGCCGAGATCGCGCCATTGCACTCCAGCCTGGGTAACAAGAGCAAAACTCCGTCTCAAAAAAAAAAAAAAGAGTGAAACTCCTTCTCAAAAAAATAAAAAAAAAAAGAAAAAAAAAAAAAGTTGAGGATCCTCATGAGCTTTCAGGATAGACTTGAATTCAAGTCCTGACTTGTCATTTATTATAATTCTTCAAGTTATTAAGCTTCTTCATAATAGTACTTATCTCAGAGGTTTTTGTGATTTTAAGAAGATAATGAATGTAAAGTGCTTATTACCCAGCAAATCATAATCTGACTATATTTACTGAGCATATGCTATATGCCAGACACTGTCCTGATGATGAATGTGAATTCACTCATTTAATTCTCACCATAACTCTAGGAGGTAGGTGCTATTATTATTTCAATTTTTATACTCAAAGTAAATGAGAGAGCAGTCAAGTAACTCGCCCAAGGTCATACAGCAGAAATAGCTTTCAGGCCGGACGTGGGGGCTCACGCCTATAATCCCAGCACTTTGGGAGGCCAAGGCGGGTGGATCACGAGGTCAAGAGATCGAGACAATCCTGGTCAACATGGTGAAACCCCGTCTCCACTAAAAATACAAAAATCAGCTGGGCATAGTGGCACATGCCTGTAGTCCCAGCTACCCCGGAGGCTGAAGCAGGAGAATTGCCTGAACCCAGGAGGCGGAGGCTGCGGTGAGCCAAGATCGCACCATTGCACTCCAGCCTGGGTAACAAGAGCGAAACTCAGTCTCAAAAAAAAAAAAAAAAAAAAAGAAATAGCTTTCAAACCCAGTCTGGCTTGAGTTCTGCCCTTTTTTTTTTTTTTTTTTTGAGATGGAGTTTTGCTCTTGTCACCCAGGCTGGACTACAGTCAGTGGCGCCATCTGGCTCACTGCAACCTCCGCCTCCAGGGTTCAAGCCATTCTCCTGCCTCAGCCTCCTGATTAGCTGGGATTACAGGTGCCCGCCACCACATTCGGCTAATTTTTGTATTTTCAGTAGAGACGGGTTTCACCATGTTGGCCAGACTGGTCTCGAACCGCTGACCTCCGGTGATCCGCCCACCTTGGCCTCCCAAAGTGCTGGGATTACAAGCAGGAGCCACCACGCCAGGTGAGTCCTGCCCTTAAGGTAGAAGCTATACTTCCACTCTTTTTTTTTTTTTTTTTTTGAGACGGAGTTTCGCTCTTGTTACCCAGGCTGGAGTGCAATGGCGCGATCTCGGCTCACCGCAACCTCCGCCTCCTGGGTTCAGGCAATTCTCCTGCCTCAGCCTCCCGAGTAGCTGGGATTACAGGCATGCGCCACCATGCCCAACTAATTTTTAGTATTTTTAGTAGAGACGGGGTTTCACCATGTTGACCAGGATGGTCTCGATCTCTTGACCTCGTGATCCACCTGCCTCGGCCTCCCAAAGTGCTGGGATTACAGGCTTGAGCCACCGCGCCCAGCCGCCTACTTCCACTCTTTAGGACCTCAAAGTGTTAACTGTTACAATTTTACAATGACTATTACTAAGGGTAGTGAGAAGCCATGACTCCGATATTACATTTCGTAAATGACCGTTGCAGCAAGCTGTATTAAGAGAGAACTGAAATGGACTTACCCGGTGAGGCGGTTTCGGATAATTTTGACGCTCATTACAGTCTCCCCCATGGTGGCGAAGGCTCTGGAGATGAAGTTCTCATCCATGTAGGGTTCCAGCTGCGTAAAAACAAGAGCACAGCGGTTCAGGCCGGCCACAGGGCTTCCCACTCCGGGTTCCAGAGCCCCTCCCCGTCAGCCCAGGGCTGGCTACGCGCCGCTGGGGGCGCGAGGGGGCAGGTTCGCCTCTGCGGAGCGGCCTGAACCCCCAACTCCGCTTCAAGCTTGCCCCGCTTTAGGGAGCCTCCCCTTGGACCTAGAAACCACCACCCTGCGGTCCTAGAACAGCGCGCCTCAGTTCTTGGATTCCTCCCATTCTATGTGCCCAAAGCACCACCTCTCCTTCGCACGAACCCAGGTGGGACTCCAGGACCCCTAGCTCCACTGACTCAGCCTCTTCACTTAGATGCTGGAACCCGCTTCTGTGTCACCAAAAAGAACCCCCGCCTCACATCTCCGGTTTTTGGGATCCCAAGTCCCCTCCCCCTCAGATCCTTCCTCCCTCGCCACAAAGAGATGCCTCCTGGTCCTCAGACCCCAGACGGCTCCCCTCACTCACGTCTCCCATCCACAGGCTGGCCGCCATGCCCGCGCACCCGGGTGGGGCTTTACAGGCGGGGCTTTACGGGCGGGGCTCGAAGGCCCCTGCGCGGGCGCCAATCCTGGCTGCGGAGACCGCTACCGAGCATGCGCCTCCGACGCCTACTGCGCAGGCTCCCGAGCTCAGCTACGAGGGTCGGGCGGTGGAGTCAGCTCCGGGCTTTTCCTGCAACCCGGCTGGGCGCAGGGCTTCCGGATCGCGATGGCCGGAGTTCAGGCTGGAATGGGACCCGGCAGGGACCACCTGGCCCAGGCGGCTGGGTGACCTAGGTTTATTTCTGTCTTTATATATTTAGAAACAAACAAAACCATACACACGTACACGCACACGCACACGCGCACACACAGAGCTGGGTTACCTGGGTTTACTTCTGACTTTATATATTTAGAAAACAAAACCATACACACACACACACACACACACACACACACACACACACACACACACACACAGCGGGGTCACCTGGGTTTATTTTTGACTTTATATATTTAGAAAATAAACAAAACCGGTCGGGCACGGTGGCTCACGCCTGTAATCCCACCTTGGGAGGCCAAGGTGGGCGGATCACGGCGTCAGGAGATCGAGACCATCCTGGCCAACATGGTGAAACCATGTCTCTACTAAAAATACAAAAATTAGCTGGGCGTGATGGTGCGCGCCTGTAGTCCCAGCTATTTGGGAGGCCGAGGCAGGAGAATTGCTCGAACCAACAGGTGGAGGTTGCAGTGAGCCAAGACTGCACCATTGCACTCCAGCCTAGGCCATAGAGTGAGACTCCCTTCTCAAAAGAAAGAAAGAATGAAAGAAAAAACAAACATGGCCGGGCGTGGTGGCTCACTCCTGTAATCCAAGCACTTTGAAGGCCAAGGCGGGCGGATCACCTGAGGTCGGGAGTTCAAGACCAGCCTGACCAACATGGTGAAGCCGTCTTTAAAAAAAGAAAGAAAGAAAACAAACAAAACATACACACGTACACACATACATGCACAGATAAAATTGATATAGGCTCGTTAACTTGGGTTTATTTCTGACCTTATATGTTTAGAAAACAAGGCCAGGAGCAGTGGCTCACGCCTGTAATTGCAGCACTTTGGGAGGCCAAGGCAGATGGATCACGAGGTCAGGAGATTGAGGCCATCCTGGCCAACATGAAACCCCATCTCTACTCAAAATACAAAAATTAGCCAGGTGTGATGGCCAGTGCCTGCAGTCCCAGGTACTCAGGAGGCTGAGGCAGGAGAATCACTTGAACCCGGCAGGCAGAGGCTGCAGTGAGCTGAGATCTCATCACTGCCCTCCAGCCTGGGTAACAGAACAAAACTCCTCCGTCTAAGAAAAAAAAGAAAAAGAAAACAAAACTATACACAAGTACACACACGCCCACATGTATAATTACAATATTAATATATGCTCATTGTAAAAAAAAAAAATACAGATACAAGTGCATCCAAAAAAGTAAAAATACCCCTTTGAGGCCAGGCACAGTGGCTCACACTTGTAATCTCAGCACTTTGGGAGGCCAAGGTGGGCGAATCACCTGAGGTCAGGAGTTCAAGACCAGCCTGGCCAACATGGTGAAACACCGTCTTTAAAAAAAAAAAAAATACCCTTCTGAATAACCCAGCTCCACTACCTCCCTGTTGTTACGGGGGTTTCTTGGGTTCTCAATGCAACAGAAATTAACATGAATCCAAAAGTTTTCCCTGGCAAAATTTTTTTTCTTTTTCTTTTCTTTTTTTAATTTGAGATGAAGTCTTGCTCTGTTGGCTGCTTCAGCCTCCCAAGTAGCTGGGATTGCAGGCATCTGCCACCACACCCAGTTAATTCTTTTGTATTTTTAGTAGAGATGGGGTTTCACCAGGTTGGCCAGGCTGATCTCAAACTCCTGAACTTGTGATCCACCCGGCCTCGGCCTCCCAAAATACTGGGATTATAGTATTTTGTAATGGTGTGAGCCATTTCACCCGGCCCTTTTTTTATTTTTTGAGACGGAGTCTTGCTCTGTCGCCCAGGCTGGAGTGCAGTGACAAGATCTTGGCTCACTGCAACCTCTGCCTCCCTGGTTCAAGCTGATTCTCCTGCCTCAGGAGGAGTAATCCCAAGTAGCTGGGATTACAGGCCCGTGCCACCACCAGCTGATTTCTTTTCTTTTCTTTTTTTTTTTTTTTTTTTTTGGTGCCGTGAACTCGGATGATTTTTGTATTTTTAATAGAGAAAGGGGTTTCACCATGTTGGCCAGGCTGGTTTTGAACTCCTGACCTCAGGTGATCCGCCCACCTCAGCCTCCCAAAGTGTGGAGATTACAGGCCTGAGTCAACGTGCCCGGCCGAGACAAGTCTTCATTGGAGCTTATGCCTAGGTATAGGGAAGGCAGCTGGAGAGAGGAAGAGAATTCCCTGACTCTCTGAAAAGAGCTGGTTGAGGTTTTTCATTAGGCAAAGCACAGAAATTGATACCAAGGGTAGGGTATACAGGCTAGGCAGGACAAAGCTTGTGAGGGTGGGTATACAGGTCAGCGTATCCTGTTGTGATGATTATCTTTTTTTTTTTTTTTTTTTTTTGAGACGGAGTTTCGCTCTTGTTGCCCAGGCTGGAGTGCAATGGCACGATCTCGGCTCACCGCAACCTCCGCCTCCTGGGTTCAGGCAATTCTCCTGCCTCAGCCTCCTGAGTAGCTGGGATTACAGGCACGCACCACCATGCCCAGCTAATTTTTTGTATTTTTAGTAGAGACGGGGTTTCACCATGTTGACCAGGATGGTCTCGATCTCTCGACCTCGTAATCCGCCCGCCTCGGCCTCCCAAAGTGCTGGGATTACAGGCTTGAGCCACCGCGCCCGGACTTTTTTTTTTTTTTTTGAGACAGAGTCTTCCTCTGTCACCCAGGCTGGAATGCAATGGTGTGATCTTGGCTCACCTCCACCTCCACCTCCTGGGTTCTAGCTATTCTCCTGCCTCAGCCTCCTGAGTAACTGGGATTACATGCACCCACCACCATGCTCAGCTAATTTTTGTAGTTTTAGTAGAGATGGGTTTTTACCATGTTGCTCAGGCTGGTCTCGAACTCCTGACCTCAGGTGATCCACCCGCCTCAGCCTCCCAAAGTGCTGGGATTACAGGCCTGAGCCACGATGCCCAGCCAATGATTATCTTGAGTACTGAGCTACCTGGTGGTTGGTCTGTCAACAACAAGGCTGTAAATTAAGTGTTCAGCATTTCTTCCTGAGATGGGACATTCCACAACCTTGGTTGGATAATTTGGATCTCCTAAGGCCAGATCTTGGATTCTTTTCATTTTATTTGCTTATTTATTTATTTATTTATTCAGTCAGTCATTCTGAGAGAGGGTCTCACTTTGTTGCCCAGGCTGGAGTGCAGTGACACAATCTCAGCTCACTGTAGCCTCAAACTCTGGACTCAAGTGATCCTCCTGCCTCAGCCTCCAGAGTAGCTAGGACTACAGGTGCACATTACCATACCTGGCTAATTTTTTATTTCTGTAGAGAGGAGAGCTCACTATGTTGGTGAGGCTGGTCTCGAACTCTCGACTTCAGGTGATCCACCTGCCTCAGCCTCCAAAAGTGCTGGGCTTACAGGTGCGAGCCACTGTGCCTGGCTTTTTTTTTTTTTTTTTTTTTTTTGAGACCGAGTTTCACTCTTGTTACCCAGGCTGGAGTGCAATGGAGCGATCTCGGCTCACCGCAACCTCCGCCTCCTGGGTTCAGGCAATTCTCCTGCCTCAGCCTCCTGAGTAGCTGGGATTACAGGCACGCGCCACCATGTCCAGCTAATTTTTTGTATTTTTAGTAGAGACGGGGTTTCACCACGTTGACCAGGATGGTCTTGATCTCTTGACCTCGTGATCCACCCGCCTCGGCCTCCCAAAGTGCTGGGATTACAGGCTTGAGCCACCGCGCCTGGCCATTTTTTTTTTTTTTTTTAAACAAAGTTTTAGCCAGTTGAGGTGGCTCACGCCTGTAATCCTAGCACTTTGGGAGGCTGAGGCAGGCGGATCCTGAGCTCAGAAGTTGGTGAGTAGCCTGGGCAGCATGGTGAAAATCCATCTCTACTGAAATACAAAAAATATTAGCCGGGCATGGCAGCATGCACCTGTAGTCCCAGCTACTTGGGAGACTGGAGAATTGCTTGAACCCAGGAGACAGAGGTTGCCATGAACCAAGGATCATGCCACTGCACTTCAGCCTGGGCAACAGAGCAAGACTCCATCTCAAAATAGAACAAAACAAAAGGATGTTTCCCTCCTCTTGCCCAGATTTCAGTGCAGTGGCATGATCCTGGCTCACTGCAACCTTTGCCTCCTGGCTTCCAGCGATTCTCCTGCCTCAACCTCCCGAGTAGCTGGGATTACAGGCACTCACTGCCATGCCCAGGTAATTTTTGTATTTTTAGTAGAGACAAACCTGGTTTCACCATGTTGGCCAGGCTGGTCTCAAACTCCTAACCTCAAGTGATCCGCCCACCTTGGCCTCTCAAAGTGCTGAGATTATAGGCATAAACCACTGCACCTGGCCCACTCTGTTTTCTTGAGTTCCGCTACCTATTCCAGATCACCCAGAGCTCTGCCTTGTCTCAGAACAGTGACCTGCCCACAGTAGGCCATCATAGACACGATTTAGACAGCTAGACAATCCAGACAGTTTAATTTTGAGACGCTCCTAGTCTGGGCGTGTCCCAGGCCTCGGACTTACTTTGGTGCCGTCCTTAGTATAGGAAGCTTCTTTTTTGTGCAGTGATCAGTCGGCATCTCTGACAGTGACACTCTGAGTGCTTTCAGGCCACTTTCTGGGGCTCCTATGGACTAATGGGCCCCTAAAGTCCCTTCCTACTAGTCTATACATTCTCAGATTAGGATGTTGTGCTCCCAGGCCAAGGACGCAGTCTGAAAACCTGAGGTTCAACCACGAGTTGCCGTATTTCTGGCCCTATCCTACCATCACTGCAATAGTACTGTAGTGGTTAGGTGCTTTGACTGCAGATTCAAACAAATGGAGCACAGTCCCGGCACCACCTCTTGCTAATTATTTAACCTCTGGGCCCAGTGTGGATAGTGCTTACTTACCTCACAG